TAGGCGAGTGCCAGAGAGATCGTGATACGAAGGTAACCTAAACACACCCCCAAGCGAGCAACAGTGAGAAGCAAAGCAAGGCAGGAGGGGGAGTAGGAAGGAGGGGGGGGGGGGGGGGGGGGGGGGGGTGGTGGGGGGGCGCGAAGTACAAAAAAAAATTCCCGCAAGGGAAAATTAATTGAAAAAAATTCTTGCACGCCAATTAATCCTCAAAAATGTTCGTGCTATGGCCTAAAAAAAATTCATACAAGGAATTTGATAACGAAAAAAACATTCCTGCGGCTCGAAAATTCCCCTTCCCCCCGCCCCATAACTTTTCTAATGGTCCGTCCCTTAGAGAAGCATATGACATCAGCCTCATGTGCTCCACTATGAATCAAAGGGAGAAACAGGGAGAAGAGGAGTTATTTGTGTCCTTGATTACTGTTAAATTCTTCAGCTAATAGCGCGATTCGCTTCTGTTTACTGTAGAATCGAATACGAACTAGGCCGATCAAACCGACATGCGATCCTGTTCTCCACTTAACAAAGGCGAATCGCGATATAAGCTGAAAAATTTAACTGCAATCAAGGACACAATAACTCCTCTGCTCCCTGTGCTATTTTCTCAAAAGAGTGTTTTCACATGACGTCACGGCGGCCATATTGGTGTCCCAAAACAATGAAACGGCGGCCATGTTGGTGTCCCAAACCAATCCTCTGGGAGTTCAATTCTTTTCTCATGCAAACGCTTCCTTTTGTTCCAATAAATTTGCATAGATGCTGGCCACGTGAGTGAAAACACTCTATAGAGATAACAAGCGCGCGTATAGAGACAAAATCCGCGAAGGATTTATTGTTTGCGCTCGTTCTCGAGCTCTGCGCTGGCTTTCGCGCGCGAGCTTCACATGCAAGCTGTTGAATAGTTTTAAGGTGTACAAGTCTAGCCTTGAATGAGTATCAAATCTGCTTAGGGAACGGGGAACGGTTCTGGAAGGGGCGAGAATACGACAATTGCACGATGACGTCATTTTACTACAACTACCAGAATCCTTGAGTTTGCTGTTTTCTTGTGTAAATTAAGGCTATTGTTCTTTGATCCTCAGCGGGATTGACAAATTTAAATAACAAAGCAAAACCGAAATGAATTCTGGTAGTTGTAGTCAAATATCGTCATAGTGCAATTGTCCTATTCTTCAGCTACAGTCAGTAACCCAGTCAGTCAGAGTTAGTTTATCATTCACCCAGTTGATGAATTAACTAATCAGTCAGTCATTCAGCCATTTGCTCGATCAGTCAATAAAAGAGTTATAAACATTCAGAGAGTCAGCTGATCTGTCACAGACCGTTCGTCTGTTCGTAGAGCAACTCAATCACTTAGTGACTGTCATTTATAAAAGCCTGCAAATAGAGTTTTTTTTCGAGAAAGAACATGTCCGACCTGGTCTTGTCGTATTCGGACAAACCAGAAAAGTTTTAGGACATTCATTATGTTGACCTTTAATTTTTTTTAAATTACTGTCCTAATCTTAAGCTACAAAATTATAAGTATTTGAATCGTCCGATCATCACGTCCGGGTGCAGGTAGAATTTATTCGGACAAGGGAAAATTTTAGATAGATATTGTCCTGTGACCAACTTTTATCATTCACCCAATGAATTTTATACCTACCAGTATCAAAAGGAAAGTGATGTAAAACAACAGAATCAACGAAACTAGAAAGTAGTAGCCAACATTTGCCGGTATTTGTTGCTATAAACGAAATAAAGAAAGAACAAAACATAAGAGATTTTGCATTTTACACTATTTCCTCAGTGATTATACTCACTACAAAACTGATACAATAATACTGTAAACAAATAGAATAACTGCTAGTCCACAATTTGTCATTGTCTTCAATNGTTGACCTTTAATTTTTTTTAAATTACTGTCCTAATCTTAAGCTACAAAATTATAAGTATTTGAATCGTCCGATCATCACGTCCGGGTGCAGGTAGAATTTATTCGGACAAGGGAAAATTTTAGATAGATATTGTCCTGTGACCAACTTTTATCATTCACCCAATGAATTTTATACCTACCAGTATCAAAAGGAAAGTGATGTAAAACAACAGAATCAACGAAACTAGAAAGTAGTAGCCAACATTTGCCGGTATTTGTTGCTATAAACGAAATAAAGAAAGAACAAAACATAAGAGATTTTGCATTTTACACTATTTCCTCAGTGATTATACTCACTACAAAACTGATACAATAATACTGTAAACAAATAGAATAACTGCTAGTCCACAATTTGTCATTGTCTTCAATAATCTGACAAATAACTAGCCATGCCAAGCTATGCCTAAGAGCGGAGCTCCAGCATAATACATAATTTAATACTTACCACATACTCAATGACGAAGAACAAGTTAATTCCTATAACTAATATTGACAACACCCAAGCCACAGTTTGCATCACCCTGTAAACAAAAACGCAAGCCTTCAGAAAATTCTTTTAATTTTTCAACTGAAAGAGTGCGACTCATTATTATTGAAAAATTTGTCTCAAGGATGACTTTTACAAGCTCTATTTATATATCTAGCAATATTTTTAAACAAAATTCGATTGTTTTGTCCTACTTAGTATCCTTTCTGACAGCTCACTGTTTGTGGAAATTTTACTTGTACATAGAATTTCTTTTCCAAGCATTTGAAAATGGACTGCACTGCGCAGAGTATAGTTTTTGGTAATCAAACAAAACACTGAGAAAAAAGTATTTCAACTGTGAAATCTATGTATTCACCTTCCATTTGTAAAGGATTTCATCAATGCTGGATCACCAGTAAACTGTAACACTGGAATTAACGCAAACGGCAGCTGCAAAAGATAGAAGGAAGCAAGTCACTTAGAATCCAACAAATTAGACAAAGTTGGGCGCCTTAGTGCTATCTCAATGATCTATAAACCACATCGTAGAGTCTTGTACATGGATAACACATTCTACATTGCTTCTAGTGTTTTATTCTATTCAAGTCCACTTGTACGTGGAAATTCTCATCTTGTGCCTGCCATACATAGCGTCTGCGTCCAGGACGTTTTTGGAGCAGGGCTGGGATGGGGAAGGCAAAATTGTTGTAACAACACATGTGATATTGTTAATGATATATGAAATAAATCATATATGAACTGTGGAAATGAAATGAAAATGAAGAAATGATCGTCGCAGTGAACGCAATTTATGCAATTGCGTAAAGAAGCCTGGAAAAAAAATTCAGGCCTTCAACGGGGTTTGAACCCGAGACCTCGCCATTACCGGTGCGATGCTCTGCCAACTGAGCTTGACTGAGGTTGATTCTGTTTGTTTAACTGGACCCATGCAAGAATAGCTTTAAAGAATTCTGGGCTATTTATTCAACATGTCTTAATTAACAAAAGTAAATACCACGCAAGCGAGTAATAACTGCGCGCCGCGCGTTCAACTTTTTGTAGTGATTGCTCAAAAACGTGACCAAACCGTTACAACTACACCTGAACAGAAGATGTGTTGGATAAAGAGTTTCAAATTAATGTTTCTTCATCAGAACACACCTGCAAACTCTGCAAAACGTTAAGGAAATCGTTCATTCCAGTCAAGTCCTGAACACCTTCAAAAAATGCTACAAGAAGAGTGGGACCAATGGCGATTGACCTGGTAAACAACACTCGCTTCCAACGAGCCCAAGAAATCTTCAAGAAGCCCTGCATAATTAAGACAGAAGAGTGTTCAACATGGAGAGACAACTACGACAGGTCTTGGATTAGAATACATTATGGGGCCTTTACTTTCTAACCGCCTAACAGACAAAGTCGGCGAGAGCCGCTTTTTCTTTGCATAATTATGTAGTTCCCTTGAAGCCGCCCAAGCCCCAACTTTCGTGTTAGTGAGCTCGCAGGGGCGGATCTAGGGGGAGGGTGCAGGGGGTGCGCACCCCCCCCCCCCCCCCTGAGATGACCTGCGGTTTTCTAATACAACTGGTATTCTGCAAAAAAAAAAAACTATGTGGTTTATTGGTGTTGAAGTAGAGGAAGAGACGAGTGCACCCCATCCTAAAAAAAATCCTGGATCCGCCCCTGGCTCGTCTACTGGTTTTCTCAGTGTGAGCATTAATCAAGCTAGTGGTTAAAGAGGGAATTTGAACCTGGGGCCTCCAAATTACAAGTCCAGCACTCTAGTCACTCCATGATTGTGCAATTGGAACAAAAGTTTATTAGCATAACTTGAATGAAAACGTTACCTCCATGGCAAACTGTCCAGAGTAAGTTCCCTAGAAAGAAAGACAAACAAACTTTTAATTTCCTCAGAGGTCCATTAAAATATGCACTTGACCAACTGCATGTAGCTACAGGTAAGTAATAAATGAAGACATTAAAAGAATTTGTATTCATCAATGTGAATATTTTTTGCTAACTTTCATGACTTTCCAGATTTCCCATGACCAGCACAGACCCTGGTATTTTATGTAAAAAATTAAACCAAAATAATATCTCCCCACGAAGTGAGTGTTTTTTTGGTAGATTCAGTGCTTGTACATTTGATCTTGGTGAACTTTTGTTTTCAGTCCAGCATTCATAAACATTAACTGAAGGAGTGCAATAATTATCGCTATGTCAACTTATCAAAAATCCTGACCAGATTCTGGACAGATTAAGGACATCAACATGGAAATTATGGGGCTACATTGATTGCCATCTACTCACACAATCGCAATTCTAGCCCCCACCACCATGGTTAGAGGCCACTAGTTGACAGACTGCAAGCAGTCTCTTTTTTTCTTCAGATTTAGCAAGGGGAGAACACGAGCAAGGGAGCGAGAAGCGAGAAACAAGGGGGGCAGCGTGCCTCTCCTGCCTCGCTCCTTCAGTCATGCGCATAGTCATTTTTGCGTCAGACTAGGAAAAAAGCGAGACTGCTCGTAGTCTAACTAGTTAATACCAGAGTTTGAAAAAAGTCCTGACTGGTAGTTCTGGACTACGTGGTATATGTTTTTGCTGGGCAAGTTTCGTTTTAAAGCTTACTTGCCCAATGGGCAGTATACAAGCATAATTTAAAAGTTATAATAATAAATCACTCTCCAACAAAATTAATAACAGAAATGAGCAAGAAGTGGCCCTGGGCAAGCAAAAGTGAGAGCTGCTTGCCCACAGGACAAGCTTGAATTCATGTTATTTTTTGAGCCCTGAAATAGACCAGAGGTTTCAGTCATACTGGTAATCTAGATCTGGAGGGGCTGAGGGATTCTCACCGTCATAGTAGAGCTTTGACCAGCAGCTAAGATTCCTACTCCCCAAATATAAAGAGCTGGGGCACCAAACATGCAGCCAAGAAACACGCCCTAAAAATAAAACAGACGCTGTGGAGTAAACTGTATGCTGGTGTCTGAAATCTCAAACTCATTAACAAAAGATAAAGTTGTCCAACATAATGCTGAACTGCGATTGACAGGGAAGAATAGGGCAAATGAATGATTCTGCCTAGTCTTTCACCAGAGGCTCAATAAGTGTTTAGGAGAGGGGTGGATATCCTGTGGTTCATTGATGTGACTGCTGCATAATTCAACTGAAGGTATTCTTGGTTTGCAACCACGTGACAAGGCAGCCATGCTGGTGGTCAATATAATAGAATTTTTTTTCTTGAAGAATTTACATGAAAATGGTGTTTAGTTCCCAGAGGTTCTTGACCATCAACATGGCTGCCGTGACGTCACATGCAAACCAGCAATACAGTAGCAAATAGCAAATTAATCAATAGACCGTTTTACCGATATGGCAGCCATATTGAATTAATTCGATTTAAGGATGTATTATAGGATGCCCAGGGGGCATGAGCACATTTTGTTTATATTTTTGAGCACTTTTCGGGACATTTTTTCTTAAAGTTTTCTTAGAATAAGATTGTAATGGGAAAAAAGATCCTTGTGCTGTGTTTGGATTGTAATAATGATCGCCTTTTTCTAGTTTAGTATTAGAAGTATGGTCTTTCACTGTATGTTTCTTGGGAAAAAGGCGATCATTATTACATCCAAACACGGCACAAGGATCTTTTTTTGCATTAGAATTTTATTCTAAGAAAACTTTAAGAAAAAATGTCCCGAAAAGTGCTCGAGAATACAAATGAAATGTGCTCATGCCCCCTGGGCAACCTATAATACTCCTTACATCGAATTAATTCAATTTAGCCGCCGTATCGGTAAAAAGGTCAATTAGCCTGTATATGACTCCTTACCCCTTTGTACAGATCTCCTTGTATGGTTGAATTCCAGAAAATCTGAAAATAGTATAGAATAACATTTTATACTAGTTCGGGAGACTGTTAACAGTTATCATTTACATCGTTCATGTGACGATAGATGCCATGATAAAATGAATCAAGGTTGTATGCACTCACCAGTTCAAAGACTCATGTAGGAAAAAATAAAATTAATAGTGATTTCTATTTCAATCAAAATATTTCTCCATTTTCAATTGAGATAAATCCCTTGGCTTATAATTTATAACGAGTTAGCATTGACAAAATCTGCATGACGTTTGCTACGGAAAGAGAGACACAAGGCACAGTGGCTTAGCTAATTTTGGCAAGGCAGGTCTGGAAAAAATGGCGAAGATTTCACATGTTATGGGAAGTCTAAGCAGTCATGTAAAAATAGCTGTCAAAAACACAAAGCATAAGGGTAGACAAAAATACAATGCCATGGATGACAACAACCAGGGCCAGGTTATGAGAAATGAGGCATTTCAGTCACGGCAAAGGAGAAATACTGAGTGAATCAAGAGTGAAAGCCATGTAGCACTGGCACAAGCTTATGCAAAGCACCGTTTTAGAACAAAAGTGTTTTGACCTTTGATCTATCTCGCCTGTACTCCCTAACCCTTGGTTACTACTAGTATTTTATTGTAAGAGCTGAGAGGCGAGAATTCCTCGTCAAATCCTTAACTGGGAGCATAGCCAAAAATAACTACTTACAGAAGGATCTTTGATGTCATCAACATTGAAAATTGAATCTTGGCTAATATTGTGTCTTAGGCAGTTACTGTACTAAAAAATATAGAAAATAAGCGTGTTCAAATTATTATAAAAAATTCTCATAAACAAAATATAACATGGCAAACATCAGCAACAATCACAGAGAAAGGCTTTAAACAAAAAGTGACTGCACAAGATCCCCAAAAAGCCAATACATTGTTGGAATTCGGTAAAATTCCACATCCTATGCAGTTACTTATTCCATACAGTTTTCCTTTGCTGCAGATGTTTGTTACAACGTGTATTGTTTGTTTTTTGTTTTGACTTCCTTGTTTAAGACAGACTTAAGCACATTTACCAAAATCTGCTACCACACCATCACAAAGTTAATGTGAATGTAGGTTAATTTCAAGCAAGTTTCACGGATCAGTCTAAATCTTCTGTTTCTTCTAAATTTTCTGATACATAAACAAAACATATGCCTGCTAGCTGAAATCCCTTGTGTTTCTAAACATGCACACAAAACAAAACAATTATACCTACAGTGTTTTAAAACTTACCACCTGACGATAAGTTTTCCCATAAAAAGCCTAAAGGAGCAGAAAAAAAATGTTACCGAGCATAGAGGACATCGTTGATACAAAAACGTTCAGCATTTTAAGTAGGAGAAAACAAAACTTGCTTAAAGCTGACTAACAGGTAGATGGGCTTATAAGAGAAAGTTCAAGGTACATGTATGAGATCAATTTAGATTTCTGGGAAACTACCCACCTACCCCTCCCCTACACTAACATTAACACTTACTTCTCGCTTAGGGCAAAATGATTGCTTAGGGGAGGGGTAGGTGGGCAGTTTCCCATAAAGCAAAATAGATCCCATGTATTTCTGTCTGCCAGGCATTATATCAAACTTTACAAACAACAAAAGTGTGGTTTTCCGCTGGCCAAGGAAGAAAAGAAGCGGAAAAAGTTTTTCTCACACGCGGCTGGGAGTTTGGGTTCGAGTCTGCATGGGGTCTTCAGGTCACATGGCATTTCAGAGTTGCCTTCCCCCCACTGACTGTTGCATGGTAGGCTTGGCATGGTTCCCAGTTGTGTGTGAAAAATGAACTTTGAAAACCTGTTAGGATAACAATTTTTGCAAAATCCACAATATCAATGCAGTCTGTTTCAGTCTTTTTCAAGTCTTTCCATATGTTCCTCCCTTTGTATTTGCAGTGATATAACTTATTAACCTTCTTTTCATGTTTAGAGCAGTTATTTCTCTGTTTTACTCAGTTGGGTGGAGGTTCCCACTCCCGGAGGGGAGGGGTACTGCCATATATGGGCTATATAGCTATACGCCGCTGTGAAGGGTATGGTTTTCGAGCAGTTTACTCTGGGACAGGGTATATAAATCAGAGACTTGAAGTTGGTTGAAGATTATAGTCTAGACTTGGGAAACCGGGAATTGCCACTCAAAAACATAAAATCTGCAACTTTCAATTTACATAACTCAGCCTAAAAGCTACTCCAGGATAGGGAGGGATTTGGGCAGTTTAGTCTAGTATAGGGTCACAAAATTCAGCTGAACTAGCTCTGGTGTAGGCTAAGGGTTCTTAGGTTCCAGGGTCTCAGCACACACAACCACCCAAAAATTCCTAAAGTACCTCCCCAGTTCCCACTGTTTGAATTTTGATAAATTTCGTGACAAAGCTCAATTCTTTAATACAGATTTGACTGCATGGTGCATACAAGTACCGTAATTGACCTAATAAACGCCCACGTCCAAATAAAGTCCTCTTATCTAATAAACGCCCCCTCTATGTTGTTTAAATTGTATCAGATGCCCCTCTCTAATAAACGCCCCCCCTCTGGGAATTGCTTCAAAATATGAGGAATTAGCAAATAGGAGCAAAATCAGTCAATTCTTTCAGTTTCTTGCTTGATTAACAAGACTTTGCACATTTCATTTTGTGAAGGTCAAGTTCAAAGTAATGATAGACTAATGATGGCAACACAATAACCCTCAGCGAGGATTCTGACTTTGATGTTGGGATTTGAAAGCATGATATGGATCTCTAGATGAAGTTCAACTATTACTGTCTTGATGGAGTGGATATTCCGCTACTTTTAAACTCTCTTGATATTTTTTGCTGAAAGCAGATTAGTTTTGTTGAGCTTGTTACAGTTATGAGAATAAACACCTTTCTCTTTTTAACAGCTCCTATCTATTAAGGTGATTCCCTGGTTTTGCACTGCGCATCTCTTACTGCGCATAACAAGATGGCCGCCGTAAAAAAGAGTATGTGAAGTAACATTATTAAAAATGAAGTTGACTGAAGAGAAACGCTATTGGAATTTTTGCTTGCTGTTATTTCTTGCCGAGGTGAGACTCAACGTGTTGGGGATGTGTATAACGTAAGCAGTACACGTGTTGCTGAGTTCGACTTCATCTCAGGGAACCTTGATAGTGGGTGTTTAACTTGTGCTTACTCACTTTTGATTTTCATTTAAACGCTTTCTTTATCACATTGTGTCCTAAATGTGATATCTCGATGTAAATTCTGTAAAAACTGATTTTTTAATACTTTCTTCCCTCTTTCACATACATTCTATTTTGAAACTCGCCCCAGTCCTCTCTCAAGAATCAGAGAAAATGCATTTGGTGTGCACTTTCTGCAGCTCTACCGCAAAAACGAGTACGGTGACCCCCACTTTTTATAAGAACAGTGCTTTCTTTCGATGAGAAAAAAATTGGCACAAATCTACGTTCAGTTTTTTGGCAGTTTTACTAAATTTTACGGATTGAGCTATCACGGGTTGAATAGTGTGTGTCCAATTTAATTCTACTTTGGAGCGTAAAGCAAAAACAAGGGCATTAAAAGGCATTTTTCTGGTACATAAGTGGATAAACAATACATTAAAGTCAAATTTTACGCAATACCACATGCATCATCGAAAAAATCTCTCCTTTTTGTCTAGTTTTGGGATGCCCGCGGTTTTTGTAAAAGGGTCCTAAATAGCCGTATTTGTCAGCATTGTGACGTCAAAACGAGCACGGTGACCCCCACTTTTTATTAATTTTTTATCATCTTCTTGACTTGTTACATCAGTGTACCAAGTTTCATCTACAGTCTATGTTAGGTTCTTTTACTAAGGAATCACCTTAAATGCTGCTGCTTGGACCCCTAAAATTAAATAGATGCCCTGGACATTTATTGGTCATTTAAGGTTTGTTGCCTACTAACCTCCGCAAATACTGCAACTACAAATATGTTGATGATCAATGAAACAAACAGGGCAATGGCTGCAGGAACAGTGATACAAAAATATTACATCAGTATCCATCAGTAAACAGCAACCTACCATGACTGAGTGTATGCAGAGGGTAGTAATGAATGGGCGAAGAGTCAAATTGAGCGTCATGTGATCACTCAATCCTCTGCCAAAGGTACTCCTCAGTCTAATCCTGCCAACTACATAGGCTAACAATCATCAAGGGAAGTAGTCATTTTTAGTCCCCAGTTAGGGAAATTACTGTTGGTGAATAACAATCAGCAACCCACAGCTCAGAAGTCCTTACTACAGTCAAAGTGAGTCGAGTAGCATCAGTGGGCCTGTTAAGTAACCTGATTGGTCAATTGAGTCCTGATGTTGGTGTTTAGAGTTTTTATGGCCAATAGCATCATTGCTTAACTAACAAATGACCTCCAATAACTTTGAATTTGAAATGACCAGTCAAGAAACCAACTATTCAGTAGACAGGGGCAGATCCAGGATTTTTTTTAGGAGGGGGTGCACTCGTCTCTTGCTCTACTTCAACACCAATAAACCACATAGTTTTTTTTTTGCAGAATACTGGGGTGGGGGGGTGCGCACCCCCTGCACCCTCCCCCTAGATCCACCCCTGGTAAACTGTTACAAGACATTATTGTTGTTTCATGTATAAATTTAATCAATTTATGGAATATGTTCTGATTTTATACAAGTATAGAAACTATTACACTTTGCTGTTTTTTTAGAGATGGGTCGCTTGAGAGCATTCATTTGTATCTAACGTTTTCATTGGGAGCAAAACTTTAATCTATAGCGAAATTCCGTTACCTGCTTTTGCTTTTGTTTACCTAGTGTACTTTTGTTTATTTATCTATTTAGTTATATTTAGTTAATTATTTTGTTTTTAATTATGTTATTATACAGTCGCATCACACTTCAACTTAATGTATCTAAGAATCCTCACCTGATTCAATAAAATAATACATATTTGCTTCTTTTACTGCTTTCTGGTTGTTTCTATCAACCTCTCTTGACTGTGGTAGTCATAAAAACACAAAGCAAAAGAAGCCTGTTATCTTTGATGCATTGTAAGACAAAATAGACTGCCATGTTTGTTAATAATTACCCTATCTTCCAGAAACCTTTCATCAAGGTTCAGTGCAACCCGGAACTTAGCCATCTTGGTTTTTTCTCCTGCATGCCTAGATGTTTCAGGATTAGCCATTGGCCACAGGTCAAGGAGACTTAGAAAAGATTGGCTGGATTCTCAATAACCAATTCTAGATTCTAAAACCTCATTATCGGAGAAATTGTGCATGGAGTACCCTGGTTACCAGGCACAATTTAAGTGCAGTTTCTGGTTTCGGTCAAATCTTCATAGTGAACTGCTTTTTCACTCCCACCAATTCAAGCAGCTGACCCTGAAGGACCCTTTGGCCAAGGAGAAAAAATTTCTGGTACCCTGGGTGAGCTGTAGTAACTTTATCGAATTGCGACACAAAACAGACTCAAGTAACTTTTAACAGTCTTGGTTTGTTCATGTGTACAAAGTGGTATCTGAGGAATAAGCAAGGAAATACCATACTGATGATGCATCACTACCCAGATCTCGATAGTGCTTCAGATTGGACAAAGCAAATATTTTAACAAATCAGAAGCACCTCCCAGATGTGGGTAATGATGCATCATCACGATGGAATTTCTATGCTAACTTTTGTCTGGGCTAATTCACTACCTTTACTAAAGCTGAGTGTAGATACATGTTATGAGGCATGATCACGGCTCCAACAATTCCCACAGCCTACCACAAAAGAAACAAAAAGAAAAATAGTAAATTTAATTTTTGTATTTTTGTTGCCCCTAATTCTGCTTACTGATAATGAGAGAGCCAATAACAAATCCTTGTTTGAATCAGAAAACAATCATATGATTAAAAATCAACATAAAATTCTAACATAATATAACTGCCAGCAAGCCCAGGCCCCACCTTAACCCACAAGAGCTTGCTCACAGGCTAACTCTAACACTGTGAAAATAATCATCTTGACAATTTTATTACACCGGCAGATACAGTAAACTGTCAATTAGCAGTACCACAATGCTTCTCAAGTTTATGTTTAGTGCTTAAACAAGAGATCAAAATAATTATCGTTCGGTTCTAATCTTAATTTTAAATGTACTTTACCTGCATAATACTATCCTTATCACAATTTTCACACCAAGGTATAAAAAGGCCTTTAACAACCTCACCCTGATTTGCGGCAACTGTGACATACTGAAATAAAAAAGAAGAAACACAAAATACAATTTTAAACAAAGTTGCAGATTGTATTTTATGCTTGACATAAATATTATTATTGTTGAGGCTGAGCAATTAAAATAATTTTATTACTAATTTATTAACAGACTACTTTTCACCAAGATTTTACGATGCCCAGTATATAAAATTTATAGATATACAGTACACCGTGTTAAATATCCCCACTGAGTGCTCTCGGGAGTCCAATATGGAGATTCTAAAGGCTTTATTCTACTTCTATTAACCCTTTAAGTCCCAATATCCACATACAAATTCTCCAAACTGGTCTCCATACATTTCCATAAAGACTAAGTAAAGAGAATTTGATACAAGAACAAGACATTTTCTCTTTGCTGATTATTTATTAATTCTCATAACCATTTCTCATGACCATCTATGGATATCCTGAGGAGAAAGTTGATGTTGATCACTATTGGGACTTAAAGGGTTAAGGGTTTTCGATTACAAAGAAGAGACTAAATCACCTGACAGTGAGCTATAGTTCATTGTTCCTGTGCTTACTCAATTAACAGTAGTCATGCAACTAACTAACATAACACAACATAACATTGCACAATGTAACACCCTGTTAAGTGAAACCACACAGCAAACCTCATATCCAAATGCTATGGCCATTACTGATATTAAAAACCCAAAAAAGGCCTCTAGCTTTCTAAGACCTGAAAAAGAAAAAAAAAGAAAATTTGAAACTACAGTATAAGACATACATAGCCTCTACAATCATTTATGATATTAAAACGGCCAGAACCAGTCTTGACTAGAACAGCATTACTCTTGAGATTACTAAGGACTGTTGGGGGCAAAAGTTGTGTTAAATAATATCCCGAGAGTGTCAAAATCAGAAAGGAAGGGCAAGGGGCAGACACTATTTAGAGGAGAAAATTTGCTTTGTCCAATCAGAACCACTATCCATGTACACATTACACATACAAATTCCATATACAATACCATACACAATACCAGTCACCTACACTCTAAGTATTGTAGCACACTAAAATTTTCATAATAATGACATACAACATACCATATTTATCAAGAAATAAGAAGATGAAAGTGTCGGTGATGGTTATAAGCACTCCACCGTACAAAGGGATTCTAGTGATGAAACAATAGTGAGGATTAACTTGTGTACATGCAATTTCAAGAAAAATAACAAAAAACATTTTAATACATAATATCCATTAGAATAATGTTTGTTTTGCAGGAGACCTTGACCTGATAACATGAGTATGTACTTTTCCCCTGCTAAGGTGTGAATATATCAGGAAATTATGAAAAATAATTATTAATATTTTAATAAGAATATTAAATTTGGTTAAATGTAATTTAACTAAGTTAACCACCATGAGCTTAGCGGTCAAGCCATCCACGAGCTTAGCGGTCAAGCAGTTCACAAGCTTAGCAGTCAACAGTTCACAAGCTTAGCAGTTAAGCGGTCCACAAGTTTATTGGTCCACAAGTTTTAAAAGCGGTCCACAAGCTTAGTGGTCGAGTGGCCCACAAGCTTAGCGGGCATCCAGCGGTCAATCCCATAAGTGCAGGCTCACATGGTATGTGGTAGCTTTGTACACTGCTAGGTTCTACGAGTTCTTCATTGAGCGTTTGTGCAGTGGTCTGTGGAGTGGTTCATTTAGCATCTCCCCCCCTCCCATCCTCCCATCCCTTATTTTTCTTCCTTCCACTGTTTCATCAGTGTGACGGGTGCCTGGAATAGGGGCTCACGGCTGGGTTGCGGGGATTTGCCAGCAATGGGGGCTGTATTCTATCTAGGGGCTGGCTGGCCGCAGTGGAAGCCCCTGGGTATCCAAGGCGCCCACCTTCCACTTAAGCAAGGTAGTTGGTTAATAATTCATTCCTGTTTAACAAGCAAAGTAATACAAATTTAATTAACATATCAACAGTATACTACTTACTTTCCATTTGATAAGAGGTTAAAGGCTATTGCCGTACCAATTACTTCCTACAGACACAAAAGAATATTTTTGTTTTAACTATAATATTTCGCAAGCAAAAATGTACACCTTGTTCACTAACAGCATACATTCTTAAATGTAATTGACCCTCTCAATTTTTTTTTTACATTTTGACATGGACAAGCTCAGTAATGTTGCTTAGTGTGGAAGTGATATAATAGCCAGCTTATTTCAACAACATTTTTGAGTGACTGATGTCAACGAGAAGAGAACTTTTTGCATCCTTAGGCAGTGGTTTGGTTGAAACTCTCACATTTAACTGTCTTTATAAGAGAAGTGAAACTTAGAAACAAATTTCTTAGCGTCAAGGCACATAAAAAGAACCAAGGCCTCACTTCTGGTTGGATATACCACAGATACACCCCTACAAATAAGTTGCGGCCTTTAAGATAAATTGAGGGCACACATAAGTCTGGAAAATTTTGCCCAGGTTAGGTTAACTGAAGTGAAGTGAAGTTTTTGCTTGCTTCAGACCTATCTCTACCAAACGAGGGAAGTTAACTGCTCTTTCCAGCCATGTCAACGGGCACTCATTGACTGGTCCATACAACAACTTAAAAAAATGAAAAACACTTGAATGGTCTATTTGAAAACAACAATAATTTTATTATTTAATTAATTTTGTGCTATTAACAAAAAATTTTAGAAAGATACCTGCATGTCACTGCCGATAATTGCAATCTCAACCATGATCCAGAGAATGATGCGTGGTATCTTAGGGTACTTTTGATAGCAGACCTCAGCAAGATGAAAGCCTACAAAGATTAAAACATTCATGTGAGACACGTAATGATGACATGGGAGATAGATAAATAAATAAATAAATAAATAAATAAATAAATATAGTTTTTTTCACTTTCTTGCAGTTAGGAAATACTGAATGAACAAGTGATATGTATACAATCTAAAAATGCTAGGAGTATACAATATTATACTAGTAATCATGTTTAAGAGTATCTGAATGTAAAAAAATTGTTCGCTCTCTTAGTTCTTCTTCTTTTTTTTTTTTTGATCTTTCACTACCAGATCTTAAATTAGAAGAGACAGTTCTTATTTCAGATTTGGGATTGAGGAATGATATTGGGTTATTGTAATAGCTAGCCATAACAGAGACGTATCGGCAACACAGGGAAACCCTTCTACGATCAACAATCCTACTAAACTCTGCTAAACAAACAAAGACAAAAATAATTTGAGCACTCAGACATAGAAGAGGAGTGTCTGTTACTATGGTGTAGTGATTTCAAAACCTCCCCACAGGGTAGTGTCTGTCATTTTGTCCTTAGAGAAAGGATGCACCAATTTGGCATTAAAGTCTTGCTATTATAGTAGGGTATGCTCCACTTAGGGGCATATCTACGCAGGGGAATAGATGAATAAAACAAAATCAACAGCAACAGAATGTTTAACACTATGGCAAGACAAGAAAACAAACTACCATGGAGCACTGTACATGTACATGAAATACGTTTAACCCTTCAAGTCTCAAAAGTGACAAACATCAATTTTCTCCCAACAATAATCAATACACAATCAAGAGAATTGGTTGTGAGAATTAATGAAATAATCACCTAAGAGAAAATGCTTTGATCTTTTATCAAATTCTCTCAACTTGTTATTTATGAAAATAGATCAGTTTTGAGAATTTGTTTGTGGATACTGGCACTTAAAGGGTTAGTTTATGGACCCTGGTACAATGTGTCTTGACCTACCTGTAACAGTTCCCAGTCTTAGAGACAATCTCTGATGATTAAAAAGAAGTAATGATCAGTGCATAGACGTGAAAGATTACAGACAGAAAGGCCTTGGAAATAACCCTACTTCCCCCACACCCTGTGCCCAACCCTTTAAAATTAATAACAGGGGACTATTCTAGTGCTCACAACAATGTTTTGTTTAGAAATAAAAAGCAGTATAAAATGATATCAAAGGGAAAACTTGGTCACATGGTACACCTGTACATAGTAACGTTTCCTGTTTGCTGTCAACATGACCAAAATCTCTCTGATGATATATTGGTTCTCCCCCATTTGACAATGTTATGGCACATGAGAAGTTCCCCTACCCCCCTCCCCCAACTATGTAGCCTGTCAATCAAACCTTAGTTACCTTAGTTTCAACCAACAGCTGACCATTGGCTGTTATGGTGCTGGGAAAGGGTAAGTTTATTTCTCAACAATATTAATATTAAAAGTAGGTTGAGTTTGATCATCCGGATGAACGTAGTCCTGAATAACTGTTGTTGTTGACAGTGACTGACATTTCGACAACCTGTGCGGTAGTCATCTTCAGAGTCAAAGTGAGTTGTATCACGTCAGTTGATGGTATTAAACTCTGGTTAGTGACCTGATTGGTCAATTACGTCGCGATGACATTAGTAAGTAGTCCTTGACATTAGTAAGTACTTGCTGTAAAGTGTTATTGGTTTGTGCGCAACACGTATATTGTAAGGTAATGTCAAGGACAAAGACAAACCGGAGGACAGACAGGGAGCAGTATCCAAGATCAAATGCTGCGACTACCATGCTCCTTACATTGGTGAAACTGGCAGAAACCTTGGCATGTGAATGACTGAACACCAATGAGCGACAAGAAATGGTAACGTCAACAATCACATTGCTAAACACCATTTACAGGCAAAACATCAAATCAACTGCGACTCTGCGACATGTATTACGTATTCTACAGACTACTATCAATGACTCACTTACAAAGCTGGTTTACTAACTTAGATCAAATGCCATTGAATCGTAGTCAACAGTTACCGGCACCACACAAACGACTGATTGATGAAATCAAGCAAAACTAGCTAAGACAGAACAACTGGAGAACTTACAATCTGACTAACAATAGACAACTGTTTAGCTGTGACAACAGATGGATCGAAACGCACCAATTACATTATGAGTCTTCATAGCCAATGACGTCACGGCTTAACTGACAGATGACCAATAACATTGCGATGTAATTGATCAATTAGACCAATAACCAGAGTATAATACCATCAACTGGTGTGATACAACTCACTTTGGTTCTGAAGATGACTACCGCACTGGTTGTCGAAACGTCAGTCACTGTCAACAACAACAGTCCTATTCAGGACTACGTCCACCCAGATGATCACACACAACCTACTTTTGAAATGACTCTTGGATTCACACCTTTCACAGTATTAATATTGGTTATACCTGCATGAGAAGTCCCATGAAGGTTGAACACATAAGAACCCAAAGCAGCTGTGAATAAAATTATAAACAAAACTACTTCGTTATCATGACAAACTAGTGACATGCTTGACTGTATAGCCTTCCAGCCCAAAAGTAATTTGTACCTACCAGTGATTTTGTCACAATTTGCTAACAGAGAGTCCTCGGACTCATCTTATGAAAAATTATGATTCCCAGTCCGGAATCAATGCGTTGCAGTTCAAAAAACAATGGTTGCTCACTCCTATATTTAAAGATGCCACAACCCTTATGAAACCAGACTATCGCATTTAATCTGTAGAACATTATCAATAGAAAGCACTTATCTCCGTTTGTGGTATATGTTTTTGCTGGGCAAGTTTCGTTTTAAAGCTTACTTGCCCAATGGGCAGTATACAAGCATAATTTAAAAGTTATAATAATAAATCACTCTCCAACAAAATTAATAACAGAAATGAGCAAGAATTGGCCCTGGGCAAGCAAAAGTGAGAGCTGCTTGCCCACAGGACAAGCTTGAATTCAAGGTATTTTTGAGCCCTGAAATAGACCAGAGGTTTCAGTCATAATCTAGATCTGGAAGGGCTGAGGGATTCTCACCGTCATAGTAGAGCTTTGACCAGCGGCTAAGATTCCTATTCCCCAAATATAAAGAGCTGGGGCACCAAACATGCAACCAAGAAACACGCCCTAAAAATAAAACAGACGCTGTGGAGTAAACTGTATGCCCGTGTCTGAAATCTGAAACTCATTAAAAAAAGATAGAGTTGTCCAACATAATGCTGAAGTGCGATTGACAGGAAAGAATAGGGCAAATGAATGATTCTGCCTAGTCTTTCACCAGAGGCTCAATGAGTGTTTAGGAGAGACGGTGGATATCCTGTGGTTCATTGATGTGACTGCTGCATAATTCAACTGAAGGTACTCTTGGTTTGCAACCACGTGACAAGGCAGCCATGTGTTGGTCAATATAATAGAATTTTTTTTCTTGAAGAATTTACATGAAAATGGTGTTTAGTTCCCAGAGGAGAGAATGCTTTCTTCTTGACCATCAACATGGCTGCCGTGACATCACATGCAAACCAGCAATACATCATAAATAAATTGTACTTAATAGTAAATTAATCAATAGACTCTTTCACTGATATAGCGGCCATATTGAATTAATTCAATTTAAGGAGTATTATAGGATGCCCAGGGAGCATGAGCACATTTTGTTTATATTTTCGAGCACTTTTCGGGACATTTTTTCTTAAAGTTTTCTTAGAATAAGATTGTAATGGGAAAAAAGATCCTTGTGCCCTGTTTAGAAGTAATAATGATTGCCTTTTTCTAGTTTAGTATTAGAAATAATATGGTCTTTCACTTTATNTGAAGGTACTCTTGGTTTGCAACCACGTGACAAGGCAGCCATGTGTTGGTCAATATAATAGAATTTTTTTTCTTGAAGAATTTACATGAAAATGGTGTTTAGTTCCCAGAGGAGAGAATGCTTTCTTCTTGACCATCAACATGGCTGCCGTGACATCACATGCAAACCAGCAATACATCATAAATAAATTGTACTTAATAGTAAATTAATCAATAGACTCTTTCACTGATATAGCGGCCATATTGAATTAATTCAATTTAAGGAGTATTATAGGATGCCCAGGGAGCATGAGCACATTTTGTTTATATTTTCGAGCACTTTTCGGGACATTTTTTCTTAAAGTTTTCTTAGAATAAGATTGTAATGGGAAAAAAGATCCTTGTGCCCTGTTTAGAAGTAATAATGATTGCCTTTTTCTAGTTTAGTATTAGAAATAATATGGTCTTTCACTGTATATTTCTTGGGAAAAAGGCGATCATTATTACATCCAAACATGGCACAAGGATCTTTTTTTGCATTAGAATTTTATTCTAAGAAAAATTTCAGAGAAAATGTCCCGAAAAGTGCTCGAAAATACAAATGAAATGTGCTCATGCCCCCTGGGCAACCTATAATACTCCTTAAATCGAATTAATTCAATTTAGCCGCCGTATCGGTAAAAAGGTCAATTAGCCTTTATATGACTCCTTACCCCTTTGAACAGATCTCCTTGTATGGTTGAATTCCAGAAAATCTGAAAATAGTATAGAATAAGATTTTATACTAGTTCGGGAGACTGTTAACAGTTATCATTTACATCATTCATGTGACGATAGATGCCATGATAAAATGAATCAAGGTTGTATGCACTTACCAGTTCAAAGACCCGTGTAGGAAAAAATAAAATTAATAGTAATTACTATTTCAATCAAAATATTTCTCCATTTTCGATTGAGATAAATCCCTTGGCTTATAATTTATAATGAGTTAGCATTGACAAAATCTGCATGGCGTTTGCTACGGAAAGAGAGACACAAGGTGCAGTGGCTTAGCTAATTTTGGCAAGGCAGGTCTGGAAAAAATGGCGAAGATTTCACATGTTATGGGAAGTCTAAGCAGTCATGTAAAAATAGCTGTCAAAAACACAAAGCAGGGGTAGACAAAAATACAATGCGATGGATGACAACAACCAGGGCCAGGTTATGAGAAATAAGGCATTTCAG